GAAAAAAAAAAAAAAAAAAAAAAAAAAAAAAGACTGAATTCAGGATGTGATCTCAACCCTTACCCTACTTTTCACGAGCATCTTTAGAACTTATGATTCTAAGAGCCAATAAAAATTATAATCAAGAAAACTAATTCTGTTCTTATTTCTGCTAGCTGTTTCTTGGATATTATGGATTATTTTTCCCTACCATTTAACTTATAACCCCTACATAAACCATTGTAAATTCATTTTAACCTTAATATCAAAATTAACAAAGACAATAAAGGAGAAAAAAGTGTAGGTAATTCTCATCAACATTTGGTAGGAACAGAAATTCTAAACTATAAAAATGTAATTCCACAATGTATAGGAGAATAAATATCAAAATCAAGTGAAGTTGTCAGTAATTTTTTTACTAATACATACATGAATTAGTATTTCAGTTTTTGCTGCCTCATACTCATAGTTGATCTGCTCCAACTGCTACTGCTATATACCCTCTCCTCCGCCTCTTCCTCCTCCTTGTTTTTGGCTTATTAGCTATTCAAAGTAAGTTTGAAGTTAGGAGAATGATAGTAATCATTTTTATAAATAATCTCTCAACTTTTTCTATTATTGATTTTTTTTATTTCCCATTACTGGGGATTGAAGCTAACTTTCACTAAGTTGCCCAGGCTGATCTTGAACTTTTGATCCTATTACCTCAGCCTTCCAGGGTGCTAGGATTACAGGTGTGTGCCACCATGTCCAGTTTACCAATCTTGATTATGGTAAGGTTATTAATTGTTCATAGTGCCAAGTGTGGTGATGCACACCTGTAATCCCAGCACTCTGGAAGGCTGAGGCAGGAGGATTGCTGTGATTTCAAAGCCAGCCTGGGTTACTTGATGAGTTTAAGGCCAGCCTGAACTCTATATAGCAAGAGCCTGTCTCAAAACAAAACAAAACAAAAAATTGTTCATAGTTTGTAAGTTTAAAAATAACGTCTATTAAGCCAGGCATGGTGGTGCACAGCTATAATCCCAGCACTCAGGATATTGAGGCAGGAGGATCACTAAGAGTTTGAGGCCATCCTGGGCTACATAGTGAGTTCAGGGGCATCCCTGAACTACATGACAAGACCTTGTCCCAAAAGACAAAAAAAAAAAAAAAAAAAACCATATATTTTTTTCTTGTTATTTTAGGGATGCCCAAAAGAAGAAATAATGACCACACTGAATGACCTGATTAAAAATATCCCAGATGCTAAAAAACTTGTTAAATATTGGATATGCCTCATACGTATTGAATCAATCACAAGTCCTATTGAAAATATTATCTCAATCTATGAGAAGGCTATTCTGGCAGGAGCTCAGGTAAGGCTAAAATTTACTGATCTCTATTATTATAGTGTAAATGACTTGATTATTTTGAGTGTCTCTTTTTTTTTTTTTTTTTGGTACCAGTGGGAATTGAACTCAGAGCCTTGTACTTGCTAGGCAGGTGCTGTGCCACTGAGCTACATGCCCAGACTCAGGATTATTTTAGAACACATCACAGTGTAACTTGATAAAATTGTTGTCATACACAGAGGAGTAGTAAGTGTTTAGAGACCATGATGGATCTAGGTGTGTAGCTCAGTAGTGACGCATGGAAACCTACCTGGGTTCAATCCGCAGCACCAAATATAAATAAGGATTGCTTTATACATGTTTCTCAACCTTTTAAAACTCACATTATATACTAGGGATGATTAGATCTTAGAAAATAGATTTAAGCTGATATAACTTTAATGAAACTTTCTGTGAGAGATACTTTAATACACATCATTTTGTGCATTTCCCAATTGAGAAATTTACTGAGGAACTATAATTTTAGTATTTTGCTAATTGAATATAAAGAAAATAGAATTAAATGTTATCAAGCTTGAATAGCTTTGTGAGAGAACTCTTTCACTTTAGGGTTATACTGGAATGCCTCACATTTAACACTATGTAAATTGGTCTTGCCCACAGAAAGAAAATGATAGAAAACTAATTTCTTTGACATAACTGTGTACCTCTGTAGTGGTTTGTCACTTCTTCTCCTTGGTTGATAGATAAATATCTGTGTATAGAATAAATCATTTCTCGAGAGGTTCTTTTGGCTGGTTGGTTGTTTGGTTGGTTGGTTTAGATTCACTTGTTTTTGTGGATAAATGTTCCAAAAACATTTCCTTTCTCAGAAACACATTTTTTAGAGATTGTTTACCTCAACAGTTTTTTGAACTACTCTTTTCATCCTTTCTTTAAAAAATGTCTATTAATTTTAGTCTCAGCACAGCCAACAAATATTATTGGACTTTTACCTCAGTCAAAAATCAAATACTAGCATGTGTGAGGTCCTAGGTTTGATCCTCAGCACCATCAAAAATAAAACCAAAACACACATCTTCTGCCAGTGGCTCTTATGTGTAAAACATTTTCCTGAAGGGTAATAGTATTTGATAAAATCATGCTTGGAAGCAAATGTTGGGTCCCTAGTGCACTGACCCAGAAGGGTCATCACTCAAAGCAGCTTATGACAGTGTAGCAGGGGTAGAAAACTGAAGTCAAGGCTGCTTATAGAAAGTAGTAACATGAAGAGAAAGATGTGACACTAGAGCAGAAACTGGGAAACAAGAATCATAATTATCCAAGAAAGTCATAAGTACAATGGTAAATAATTCTAGCTCTGGAACTAAAACTATCAGTAAAAGCTTCTATTTCATATAACATATTGAATATGTTATATAACAAGCATGGCAGCTCAAAGGTACATAGTAAGGGACTATAATGTCTAATAAATAGTAGGCAATAAATTTTTTTTTTTTTTTTTTTTTTTTTTTTTTTTGTGGTACCGGGGATCGAACTCAGGTCCTTGTGCTTGTGAGGCAGGCCACTGAACCGCTGAACTAAATCCCCGGCCCGGCAATAAATTTTTGAATGAAACATATTAGGCTCATTAGAGATGTGTTTAATAGCATGTAAAACAAAATATAACCATAACCTCATTTAAGAGAAAAGGAGCTGTTGATATAATCAGTTATTAAATAGATATTAATGTTAATTTTCCATCTGTTCACTAATTTTGTTCATATCAAGCAAGCAGCAATAATTACCAAAGGCTTACGAAAAAAATTGAAGATTTTAAACTATCTTTAACTTCATTGTTTTATTCTGTAAGTTGGAAATAAGATTGAAGAACATGAGAAGCATGGCTTAAGAAGCATTGTTTTATTTTAGAATATGAAATTTTAATCACTGATTCTAATATTTTCAAGTTGTAAAACCTAATTTTGGAGAATATAAAATTTATATGGATATACTTTCTTCATTTAAATAAATTAAGCCTATTGAAGAGATGCGACAGACAATTGTAGATATTATAACAATGAAGAATCAAGAAAAACGTAAGTATGGTAAGTCTTAGTTTCTTTTTTTTTCCTTTAAATAAACTGTGATTTTATTAAATTTCTTTGCTGAATTAGTTTATTGAAATGTTTTAAAATTTAAAATATCTATATTCTTATGCTTCTGTTGATCTGCCTCAGATAAAGTGGCTTTCTGTATTATAAAGGATTTTTAATTAGGAGATCCAGTTCAAAATCCAAATTTGTCATTGAGTATCTATAAAAAGTACTTAGTTCTTGTCTCAAAAAGATGACCCTGGCGAACATATTGAAGGTGTATGTGATCTGGTGTTATGAAAGGTAGAAGTAAAAATGTCATGAAATTCCTTATAATTCTCACTGCCTCTAGAGACATGTACAAGGATAAAACTAATATTTAAATCTAATTCACTTTCTCTCATTTTTTTCCTAAACAGAAGTTAGAAGTTGTTTTCTAGCAGGTGAAATACTTGTTATCCTTTAGATGGAAAAAAGAAACTATAAACTCTTGCCTTTCTATAATAAAAGATCAAAACATAAAACCAGCCAGGCGTGGTGGCTCATACCTGTAATCCCAGCACTCGGAGGCTGAGGCAGGAGGATTGCTGTGAGTTTGAGACCAGCCTGGGCTACATAGTGAGTTCCAGGTCAGTCTCAACTACATAGTGAGACCCTGTCTCAAAAAAACCAAAACCAAAACAAAACAAAACAGAAAACCAGTCTTGCAAATCAAAGTTTTTGTAAATAGCAAGAGAATATTAAATTTTAAATGTAAGACGAATATAATAGAGACAAACACCACCTACTTAGATATCTCTCAGATATCTCAAACCCACATAACCAAAGTTGAGCTCATGATTTTTCCCTAAACTTGATCATTCTTTTGACTTTGTTTTATTGAGTGGTGCTATCTGGTTAAGCAAGACAGAAACTTGGGGTGATTTTTTACTCCCTCACTTTCCTGCCTCCCCAACATCTATTACCAGTCAAGCAAATTCAGTTTAACTTCATAAAAGTCTCTAAAAAATCTGTCTTGTTGCCATCCTTACTCTGAACTATAGTCAAGATCATGTCTAGCTTTTACTTAACCATCACAGTAGTGTCCTTAGTTTTCTGCCCGTCTCTTCTTGATCCATTTCAATCCATTCTTAACAGTGCAGCCAAATTCTCTGTTACTCAGTTGCTTAAACTCTTGACTCCAGCGTCTTGTCAATTTCCATCTCTCCCATATCCCTGAATTTCTTTTTCTTTTTTTCCTTAAATTTTTTATTGGTACATTTTAGGTGTACAGTACATTTACATTTATCATTGGGATCTTATACCTCCTCTACATGATGTATCTTGGTTCTTATTTTTTCCCCATTCCCCTGCCCTCTCTTCAACTCCTGCACCCATCCCTAGTTACAAAGATTTTGTTTCCATTTTCTTATATTTTTCCTTTTCTTGTATTTTTTTCCCCCTTCTTTCCTTTCCCTTACCCTTCCCACTTCCCCTACCCCTTTGGACCTTTTCTTCCTATTTCACATTATCAATTATTCATTTTAATCATTATTTACTGAATTTCTTTCTTTTTCTAGAATAGGTTGTAGTGTCTTTCTCCCCAGGACTCTTCATACCAGTCTTCTACTTTTTTGTAACTTAACTTCATACTTGTCCTTTACACCTTCATTCCTCAAATACTTACTCTGATACTCCTTTCCCTCACCCCATTCAACCTGGGCTAAATGCACCTGTTTTGTTCTCCCTGTATTTTCCCCATACAATATTTGATGCATTTATTTGCTTTATCTTTTAAACTACAAACTCAACTCATAAGGACAGTGTCTGATCTACCTCACCATTACATCATGCTGATGTAATGCTTGGCATATATTAAGTACCTAAATATTTATTGAATTAATGATTTCAGATTCCTTCTTTTCCTACTTTAAATGCCACTTACTAAAGAGCCACAGCCACTTGTGCCACAAAAGCATCTCTCAATAAAAACTTCTAAAAGATTCTTCTAATAATTAAATCCAGAGATCTTTTCACCTCAGCAGATTTAACAGGATGTCTTCTTAAGAATTTCAAATCTAGCCCTGTGCAGTGGCACATGCCTGTAATCTCATCTACTCAGGAGGCTAAGACAAGAGGATTGCAAACTTCAAGGCCAGCCCGAGTAACTTAGTGAGACCCTGTTTCAAAATTTTAAAAAGGGGAGCTTGGGATATATAGCTCAGTGGTGAGTGTCCTTGATTTCATGCCCAGTGTTGGAGGAGGGGATGTTAAATGTAACCCTTTGAACTGTGTTTTCTCTCACTTCTTTCCCATACCCTTCATTCCCTACTCGGAAAAGAAAAAAACTCTCCTCTATAAAATAGATGGCAGCAGTACTTAGGAAAAATAATGGTTAGGAAATGGTTCTTTTATTTGAAAATTCAGGCAACTAGGAATAACTATATTATCTTCTAATTTTGTTCTTAAAATTGGCCAAAAGCTTAAATCTATAAATGTATTTTCTATAGGAGAAAACATTGAAGATGCTGATAGAACTGAGGAACAAATCCAAGAAATTAACACTGAGGATACAGGTGTTAATCTAGAACCAAGAAAACCAGAAGTAGAAAATAAGCATAATAGAAATGTGGTATTTCAAGACTGTGAAAAACAGCAAGATGACAGAACAAAAGATCCAGCTGACAGTTTTAAAACCCCTGATACAGAAAATAGATCAAGTTGCTTAATTAAATATAATATATCTACTACACCATACTTGCAAAGGTAAATAAACATTTATAATGTAAAGAACTGTGATTTATTCTCATGCTTAGTAATTTTATTTATTGATTGATTTTAGAGATCAAACTCAGGGCTTCATGTTTTCTGGGCAAGGGCTCTACCATTGAGCTACAGCCCTAGACCTAAATGATATGTTTAAATCTTTATGATAGCTTCAGATTAGAACAATCATTCTTAATATGGAAGTTGTCAAACAAATGAAATGTCACAGGGATATTTTAACCTTTTAAGGACTGTATGGCCTTTAGTTTTTTCTAAATACTGACACTTTGACAAGGAAAACTTTTACATCATTTTAATTTAATTTCTGTATATTAATAGAAGTATGTTTTAGAACTCATCAGTTAACCTGATTCTGCAGATATTCAAATTGGAGAAATTGTACAAATTAGAGAAACAATAAATTCCTCACTTCAAGGAGCTTGCGGCATTTCTCAGTTTTTATAAGACAGTCACATGGCTGTAATGTACAAGTTATAATATGATGAATAGCTAGTTTAGAAGTACAAAGTAAAAATATTAACATGTTTTTTAAATTTTTCAGAATAATTTTGGCTTGTTTTTTTTTCCAGTATAAAAAAGAAGATGCAACTCGATGAAACAAATTCTGCATTTAAAGAGCTAAAGTTTCTAACACCAGTGAGACGTTCTCGACGTCTTCAAGAGAAGATTTCTAAATTGCCAGATATGTTAAAAGATCATTATCCTTGTGTATCCTCACTGGAACAGTTATCAGAGTTAGGAGGTGAATCTGATGCTTTTGTATGTCGCCCTAATGTAGCACTGTGCCCTGTATTCACCGAGGCTGATATTGCAGAGGAGAAATAGAATTCCAGGAAGGAGTGAGGGATTTTATTATTTCTTGGGGTGTTTTGTTTGTGTGGCTTGATAGTTCCCTTGAACCTGGAGTTGGCCAGGTACCTAACTATTCATGGAAGTAAGAGCCTATATTGACATGCATATCACAGGAGCTGTTCATCTGTGTATGGGAAATGAATCCTATCAAGTCAGTATCAACAGACTGAGTTTTCCTTTTAAGATAAGTAAATTTTATCAGTTTTTTTAACCATGTTCCTTAAAAATAAATAGGTTTGTTATAATGTTACCTTGTTTACTTTATTAAATGTAAGTATAGTAACGATGCATCATCAGAAAATGAGGTATTCTAGATAAAAGTTTTATTACATGAGCATTTTTCATAAAAATTGTGATACACTTCCCTGCCTTTAAACAAAATACTAACAATTCTTTTTTTGCCTTGATTTGATTAGTGTAAAAATGAAAATTTATGTCCGAGAGCTAGGCATAGTGAAATAAGCTGGTAATCCTAGCACTAAGAAGGCTGAGGCAGGAAAATTGTGAGTTCAAGGCCAGCCTGAGTTACTTAGTGAGACTGTATCAAAAACAAAACAGGGGCCGGGGATTTAGCTCTGCGGTTCTGCCGCCTGCCGGTACCAAAAACAAAACAAAACGAAACAACCCCCAAAATGTGGACAGGGAATAAAGCTCAGTGATAGAGTACAAGCTTAGCATGCCTCAAGTCCTGCGTTCAGTACCCAGCATAAACAAGAAAAGTAAAAAATTGTCATGTGTAGAGCTACTTCCTGAAATATTAGAATATACAGGGTTTAGATTACTTTTCCACCAAACTTATGTTATTCAGACTGTTGTGCTCTGTTGCGTCCTTTAACTAGCCTATTGTTTTTCTGTCTCTTCCTCTGTGATGGTCTGTACTCTGTCTCTTGATTATAACTGAGTTTGTAAGGAGGATAGTTAACCGGATACCCATGTCTGGCTGAAGTATTTCTTGAAGTGTAAGGAAAAAAAATGGTGTCAAATTTAGTGGATATTAAAATCTGAGTTTTTCGTTCACTTTTTTTGCAGTTTGATTGACAATGTTAAAAATAACTTCATTTGATAGTTTATAAACCATATTAGAGTTTGGGAATGAACTACATATTTAATGTTGTAGTTTAGGTAGCATTTCTAAAATAGCCAATATTTACACTTGCTTTCTTCTCCATAATATATAACCTTCACTGTTAAATCATGTCCACTGGGACATGATGATTGTATTCAGTGAAGTTTTCTTCCCACAAAATAATACCACCAGTAAAAGTACTTTCTAAGATTCAAACTAATACTTAAATGGTGTACCTCCTCTGTCAACTCTACAGTTTCAAATAAGTGAATACTAAAAGATCGGTTTAATAACAGCATGTGAAATATGAATCTAAAGAACACATATTTAGTCTCATGTTCATTCCATTTATATTTTTTATGTCTTCTCATGTTCTAAGTGTAGGACTTTTATTCTTAATATCTGTATACCTAATATGTATACAATAAAAATATCTATACAGTGATATTCTGATTACATTTATTTCCCTTCTTTTTCTTTTTGGTGCTTTTCTTTGCTATACTTTCAGCCCCAGTGACTTTTTCACTTCAACAAATAGTTTATGAGGGCTAGCAGCGTGGTTCAGTGATGGAACACTTGTCAAGCATGCACAAGCACAAAGCCCTAAGATTAATTCCCAGCATTGTGAAACAAGTATTTTATGAAATGCAATTTATCTTGTGCTGAGGATTGAAGGGCTTTGTCTTATTTTCTCATCCCTGAGACACAATACTTAATACCCACAATTTAAAGAAGGAAAGGTTTATTTCAGCTCACAGTCTGTGGAGCTTTCAGTCCATATTCAACTGGCTCCAAGGCAGGACATCAGGGCAGAGGAGAAACAGCTCTTCGCATAGCAATGGGAAGCAGAGAGATCAAGGGAGGTAGAGGAAGAGGTAGACAGACCATGCACCCAGTGACCCACCTCTTCCAACCAGATCCCACCTAACAGCAAGTCAGCTGTAAGGCCTAATCATCCAGTCACCTTCCAAATGCCCCACCAATGAATGCATGAAGCTTTGGGAACATTATAGATGTAAGCCACAACCAGCCTCATGCATGCTAAGCATTGCTCTACTCAGCTACATCCCCAGCCTGCACCGTCATTTGAAATTCAAAGCATACAGCTAGATTATTAGTTCACAACCACGGGCAATTTGTACCACCGTGCCCCTGCCCCTGCCCCAGACATTTTCACTGTCTGGAGACATTTTTGGTTGTATCTACTGGGGGTAGTGGACACTGCTGCCATCTGATGGTGAGAGGCCAGAGATGCACAGCACAAGACTATACATCACACACACACACACAAACCAGCCTCAATAAAGAACTATCCAGCCCTGTTGTCCACAGTACTGAGGCTGAGAAATTCTGAGTTAGATCACTGCTCTCTTCTTGTTAATGCTCTTGTGACTTCTTAATCACTTTCTTACTCTCATCCAATGAACTTTGCCTCCCGCTTTAGCAACTGATTTGTAGCCTACAATATGGACTTTGATATTTGATATGGACCAAGAACTACCCCTCTTCACTATTCTGGCAGCTTGCTTTCTCCCTTGCTCTGTTAATGCTTGTTGTTTGACTTTACTGAGACTTCTGCTTCCCCAAATGTTGCCTTTCCACATTGTGACCCTCTAGATAGACACTAGAAACATATTGCTACTTCTGTCATTTAGGATATTCTAGTAGCTGTGGTTTGAAAAATAAACAATTTTTGTAATACATTTTATTTAGCCCAGTATGTCTCAAATATTATTTCAGCATGTAATCAGTGTAAAATATTGTTAGATCTAGTTTATTTTTGTATGTGATTGTTCAAAGTGAAGTCTTGTGTGTATTTTACACTTAAACATCACATTTCCATGCACACTAGCCACCTTTTAAAGTGTTTAATAGCCACACTTGTCAAGTGGCTATATATTACTGATATCGTTTCCCCCACAGGGATATTTAGCCAAGGTAACAAGGTGTTTCACTTCATCCATTTAGGCACCCGCACCTGTCATCACAACAACCTTCTGTTTTATCTGCCTAATCTCAGATTTGGATTTATTCAAACTCTTCACTACTGGGCACAATGATACAACTGTGGATTGGCATTACCTCTGAGCTGCTCAACAGTTGGGCCACCTGAGCTTCCCTTTGCATTTTGTTTGTGGTGCGAGGGTTGGAACCCAGGGCCTCAAGCATTCGAGGTGCTTTATCAGTGAGTTGCTCCCCCAACCTCCCTCTCCCTATTCAAACTGCTAAGTCAGCCGCTTAACAATCAACCCTCAAGAGAAACTGAAACAAACTGATTAAGAAACAGTTTATATGGGCTGATCAGAATCACAACTCAACTCTTAATTGAAACCACAGATTCAAGCAGATTTGAATATGTACTTCCTGGTCCTAAAAATTTCAAACAAGTTTTAAAGGCAAAAACCACAAGTGGAGAGATAGATTACATCAGTTGTTTGTCAAAATATTTTAGATTAGTGCAGGCAGGGTAGCAAGCTGTCTTATAAGAAAAAGATTGGGAGCTGGCCATAATGCCACCTACCTGTAATCCCAGCACTTCTGGAGGCTAAAGTAGGAGGATCACAAGTTTGAGCCCAGCCTGAGCAATTTAATGACTTAGTGAGACCCTATCTCAAAATTAAAAACTAGAATAGCCTGGGGATGTAGCTTAGTGGGTAGGCCCTGGGTTCAATTCCTACTGTCATCCAAAAAAAATTTTAATTAGAAAGGAAAATTTTTTAAATAGAAAAAGAATTGGGTAACAAAGAATATGCACAAAACACTTCTCTATCAAAAGTAAAAACAGGAAAAAAATCCTTGGGAAAGGAAGCTCAGTTAGGGACAAAAAGACCCTGGCAGTCACATATAGGTATAGTGAAAATTGTCCCCTGAACCCTAGGCTGGGCATAGTAGTGCACACCTGTAATCCCAGGACTCTGGAGCCTGAGGCAGGAGGATTACCAAGAGTTTAAGGCCATTTTGGGCTACATAGTTCAAGGCCACCCTGAACTACATAGAGAGACCCTGTCTCAAAGCACACATACACAAAAAAACCCACCAAAAACAAAAACAAAACAAAACAAAAAAACCCAGTAACTCTGTCTTGTACACATATACCCCACCAGCAAGCTGTTCAGCAGGCCCCCCAAACAGCTGTTGAGTCTGTGTGCTGGACTGAGTCTGTGTAATGAGGTCATCTATCACTGTAGCCGGACAATGAGTTTCCTGATAAGGATGGGATGGAAGCAGAGAGTACACACAACTTATCCCAAGAAGCCTTCTTGGTTTTGATCTCATTTGCTGTTTTGATTAGTACGCTACAAAACCTAGCCTTGTATGAACAGGGGTATTGGTGACTTTGGTAGTGCTGCAGCCTGTAAGTTAACTCTTGTTCTGAGTAAGTTGTCCCAGATATGCTTGGTCTGTTGGATCCCTCTCAGTTTGGAGGCAGATGTTTTTAAGTCGCTTTGCAAATTGTACGCAACATCTAGAGCCCAAACGAGGACCTGACAGAACCAACGATGAGTCAAGGAGGAGCATCTGTGGGGAAATCCCAGCATGGCCATCATCCTGTAGCACAGGTGCACACCTTCTACATGAGTGTGGTCCACTGCATGAGTATGGGACACCCACGATTCTGCATCTTCTGAAGGGAGTCAGTATGGAATGGGACTGCAGGAGAGTTGTACCTGCTATGGCACAGCCCCTCTGTGGGCAGTAAGATCCACTACTGAGGCTGAATTGTCTGCCCAGCGGGAAATTGCTCACTTGAAGAAGGCACTCGAACATGAGAAGGACAGTATCTTCCATTTTAGCTTCGGGTTTATCAGGGAACTCAATAAAAGGGAAGACAAGATGAAAATTCTAGCCTTTTGTTTCTTACAAGGGAGCTGGCACACAGGTCTGCACTGTGCTAACCAATCCCACCTGGAACCCCAAGACCCAGAATTCATAGGACTTCATAGGCAATGAGGAAGTGAAAGTTATGGATGGCACTCCCCAGACCAATCATTAATACAAAGAAAAGGAAAGCCCATGGCTCAGCGTGTGAATAGAGGCATAAATAATAAACAGTCCTACTGAGAAAACTAAGGACATCAGGGAATTCCCTGCTTCCAAACTACTTGATTTTTTTTTTTTTTTTTTTTTTAACCGGTCCT